GGCCTGTAGATTGAGTGTTGACCCTGGCCTGTGAGCCTGGAGATAGTGTAAAAAATGCCACAAAAAATTTCTTCTAGTTGTGTCGAAAAAAAGGAGGAAATTTATTTTTTTTTCACTTGTCAACGTGTAAGACATATCACGAATTTTTCAGTGTTATTGAGTCAGACCGAGACACTCTCGGTCTCTTTCGAAATTAATCTCATTCTTGTGGCATGCACTCTGTTTCCAAGTAGACAAAAAAATCTCAGAACACCGGCACATGCCTAAACTAGCTTCGAATTATTAAGTTACCATTCCACCTTCACGTATCACGAAAAATATAACAGACGATTATTGTTTAATGATGAAAGAATATATCTAATGAATGTGAATATATATAATCAACTGTATTATTAATCATGCACGGTTTTAAGTAGTTTATAATGAACAAAGAGCAAAACGATATAACAATCATCGCATTTTTCGGCTCAAGCATCGAAACGGGCGTTATTGAGCATGCATACATTCTTAAATCTCGCACTTCGTGTTGGAGAGTCAGTTTAGCACCTACGACAAGTACTTCAGTCAAGTATACGTACGATTACGTTGTTCTCGTATTCGCATTAAGCATACATGACAACGAGTACACTGAAAAATCTTTTGCATGTCAGGACTTTCAAAGCTATGTTTCCAATTGGTTTATTTACTTCTTGTAGACCACCTTACACAAGACTAGTGCCTTCTTTTGAACTCGACGCGCCTCCGACTGGTTTTACCAAATTGGACTTCGAAATTTCAGAATCTATGGATGCTCAGCGAAACTTGTTTTAAGATCTTGTTCTTGTAGCTGCACGCGTCGTCGGAACTGAAGTTCTCAGAGAGTCGGTGAGTGATCATTAAGCATGCGGCTTCCATAAGTACCAATCCTTGTACAGACCTAAATCAAATCCAATCAAAACGCGCGAAATTTACTATCCACTGATTTGGTAATTACATGTGTTAAAATAAATTTTAATTATTCATTCAAAATAAATTTCTCTGTTTATGATCGTTCTGATTGGCTCAACCCCCTGCATATTCTTTAGAATCAGACAGCGTTGACCAAATTTGGTGAACGTTTGCGAATATCCGGTTCTGATTGACGTCAAAAGTATAGGGTATCGTCAGAAAAATGGACGGCTGCCGAGAAGCCTGTGGAATAGGGTGCCTTAGCTCAAGTTGTTTAGGAGAAATTGGCGAAAAATTTCACACGTTTTACAAAAAAGAAATACTAGAATTACTGCCTTTAAAAAAACATAGTTAGAACGGCAAAAATACAACTCCACGGATTGCAACTGCTATTTGAAAATAAGAGTACACCCCTTTGTATCCTGAATTTGGCGAGGATCACACAAATAAAGACGGCAACTTAACATCGATGGAGATAAGCAGTCATTGGTGTATCAATGACCCAAAAAACTAGAAAGACACTTCAATAATAATAACGGTCCCCGAGCTCCCCCTTCTCGACCAAAATGGGGTGTCCATAGTCTCCTTCGCAGAATTTTCGCAGCCGTTATTTGGGCCGTCACGCAACGCTTCCGTTTTGGGAGGAGGGTTGCGTGACGACCCTAATAACGGCTGCGAGGGAGATTTTGCATAGCTGCTCCATTCTTGTCTTTAAGGATCTGTGTCAAGAAATTTATCAAAATTCAAACTAACAGTAGGAACCGCCACCAAACTGAGTGAAACAAAAAATAACCCTCGTAATATTATGAAAAGTCAATAAATAATTATACAGCAAGGACATTGAAACTGATTGCAATTTATTGTGATTTTCGAAAACTTGTTAGCCTAATTATGACAATTTTTCGAAGTTCATTTTTGTTGTTTGTAACTTTTGATATAAGGGTGATTTAGCAACAGAACGGGAACGTCAGTTGACGACGGCGCGCGCAAATCAAACAACTGGCTTAACCAATGGCAGAGTGGCAAATTGGGCACCGGAAGTCGTGTTTAGTCTTCTCCGCGCGCTTTCCCGTCGTCAACTGACGTTCCCATCCTGTTGCTAAATCAGCCTATTGTTTCAGGGGTGGATCCAGGGATTTTCTTAGAATGGGGTAAACCACTAAGAAATGGCGAAACTGACTGGTGGCGTAAACAAATACGTCAGCGAATAGGAAGAAGAAGCCTTTTGCGGGCTTTTGACCAGGCAATAACATAATGTTAACTGCTGAGAATAGATATCAAACGATACAACAGGACTTGCCAAACTACCACCTTTACGGCGTTTAACATAAATTCTCCAACCTCGTCTCATATGTTTTACTTCAATACCAATAAGCCACAAAGTTTTTTTTTTTGCAGAATACTAGTTGTATTGGAAAGCCACAGGTCATCTCAAGGAAGGGTGGGGGAACCTTGCACCCTCCCCCTAGATCCGCCCCTGTGTTTTGGAGACATAAACAGTTTGACATGATAGTGTGACTTCGAGTTCCATAGCGAATATAGCCTGCGTAGGTTGCGGGATTAGCTTGGGAGCCGCGAGAAGTGTGGGTACAAGTCAGGCTATAGCGGATAAGGATGTGTTATTAACAAAATGAACTAGCTAGACGTAACACGGCCCCTTTCAATTTCTTAGAATAAAAGAAAGACTTTTCACGGGAAAAGAAATAAATCCCTACAGGACCTTTCTGGTTCACTAACTTGGCCGCCGTTTCATTGTTCCGTACACCAATATGGTCGCCGTGACGTCATGTTAAAACGCAAATGAAATCTATTGTCATTACACAGCCTTATAGAGCGATTTCACTCAAGTCGCCAGCATCTATCAAATTCATTGGAACAAAAGAAAGCGTTTAAATATTAAGAAATTAGTTCATTTCCCACAGAATAAGTTGAACATGGCCGCCGTAACGTCATGTGAAAACGCTCCAAACTCGATCAAATCCAGCGGCTAAACATTTGGCACTCGGGGAGTTACACTCAGTTATCACTAAACTGATTAAGGGTTTGGTTACTTTAACACTAGACGCTATTTGAAAAAGTACAGCATGCTACAGTTTTGTGGTATTTATTCACACATGTAACACATGGAGGTGCTTGATGAATGGTTGTAAGGTAAATAGCTAGAGACGTTTCTTGAAATAAAAGAGGTTCTTCATCTAGGCCGGAAGGGTTTGTAATTCTGGGAAGGGAGAGATTCCTCTCATCCCCGGAAAAAGAAGATAAGCATGCAACCATTTATCAATACATGGAACAAGTGTTATTAAACTTCCCTGAGGCTCATATCTTCGCTCTATTATCACGCCCCTTGTAATCTTATCAGCACTGCACGCGTGGCAACGTAGTTATTAAAACCGTATTGCAGGAAATGCCTCATTTGAAAAGAATCGACATTTGGACTGGTTATCAGTCCCTAATTTTTAAAATATTTTAGGCCCGAAGGACAACTGATTATCTCGATAATCGCTTGATACAAGTATTTTTGGTTCCGAAAATTAATTACCTGTCAAATGGTGGGCGACACCACCAAACTTCATACAATTCGGAACAGCTTTTTATTTAAGAACGGTTCTTTTGGGCCCACTAGCTAGTATATATATACATACTATATCCATTCAATTGTCGGTATCTCTAAAATACAGCACCTACGTACAGATCGAAAATTGGCTCTGTGCCTTTGTTGTCCAAATTTAAGCGTCTTGACTGTTGTTTTCTTATCATAATCAATTGCTTAAAGCCATGTTTGTGTGCATTATTCAGCTGCCGTCAATGCACTCCCATCCGGGCCTTTGGAATTCTTAACTATTGCGCGAAAGATAAAATTGCAAAAACGTAATAAGTCTCCGACAATAATATTGAAATATAGAAATATAGCCCCAGGTATCAATTACTGTAATTACCTTTTTACACATTTTTAGCATTACTGTCGTTAAAAGAGCGATTAAAACCTCATTACTCTTTTTATGATAGCACGATTCCCTTTTGTTCCTTGCATCTTCAATGGTAGTTAGGAAAAAGCCTATTTTAATGGGCTTTATAAACCAGACCTTTTGTCTCACCAAGTACATCCTAGTTACCCAGCCTGCGTCCAAATCTATCCCTGATTTGGTTTGAGGGAAGTGGATGGGAGTGGCTATACACAGCCACAGNATAGCACGATTCCCTTTTGTTCCTTGCATCTTCAATGGTAGTTAGGAAAAAGCCTATTTTAATGGGCTTTATAAACCAGACCTTTTGTCTCACCAAGTACATCCTAGTTACCCAGCCTGCGTCCAAATCTATCCCTGATTTGGTTTGAGGGAAGTGGATGGGAGTGGCTATACACAGCCACAGCCATATATCCTCAATATAAATGTTGCTTTCCCTCTTAAATCTTATGGATTTCCCAACCCATTTTCAGATAGCTAATTCCCCAAAATTCGTTCTCCACCGACACGTCTACAAAATCTTGTTGTGATTTCTTATCGCGCCACTTCTTAGAGCAAACATTTTTAAATTCTTAAAGCTCATGGTCAAAGCTCCAGCTAATTAGCTTCCCATTAACCCACCGATGATTTATCATGATCTTAGAAAACAAGTTGAGAGATCGAAGCAGTTTCTCTTTGGTGATCATTTTATTAAAATTTCTTGTTTAAAAAATGCACGTAACTTTTAATTAAAACACTTTACAACAATAGTATAAAACTAAACAGCCTTTAGGCATGTTCAAGCTCTGCTTTGGTGTGAATAGGGCATAGGTTGTCTTCTTTTTGGACCAGATTCAATAAGAAAATGGTCAAGGCGACACTTTTATATGTCCTGAAAACATGCACCTGACACTTATTTTTAATGCTCCATATTACTTACAATGACATATCTATATTTCTCATTTGACTCCATGTTTCGACAGAATTGCTTGCGTTCAGGTCAAGGTGCTAGACTGCTTAGCTCGAGAATTATACTGAACTGGCAGCAATAGTGGCGTCGTAAAAGATTCATACTTAATATGTGTTACTAATCTCAATTGACCTGTTCGCTTCTGGAGAGTTTGCCAAAAAATGACGCTTAAAGCTATAATCGGCGATAAAGTCATTGAGGCATCATGTTCACTAAAAAAGGGTAACTTCGGAGAAAAAAAACATTCCAAACCCCTCCCCTCCCCCCTCCATTCAAATTCTCCAGACCGATCTCCTTGAATTTCCTTACAAAATAAGTTAAGAGAATTTGATAAGACTGAGATCAAAGCAGTTTTTCTTTGGTGATCATTTTAATAAAATTTCTTTTTTAAAAAATGCACGTAACTTTAAAACATTTACAAATAACCGTGCAAGTGTTAAAGCACTTATTTTGAATGCTCCATATTACTTACAATGCCATATCTTTAATTTTCATTTAACTCCATGTTTTGACAGAATTTCTTGCATTCAGGTCAAGGTGCTAGACTGCTTAGCTCGAGAATTATGCTAAATTGGCAGCAATAGTGGCGTCGTAAAAGATTCACACTTAATATTTCGGTTACTAATCTCAATTGACCTGTTCGCTTCTGGAGATTTTGCCAAAAAATGACTCTTGAAGCTACAATCGGCGACAAAATTATTGAGGCATTATGCTCACTAAAAAAGGGGTAACTTAGGAGAACAAAACTATCCAAATCCCTCCCTCCCTCTCCCCTCCNACTGCTTAGCTCGAGAATTATGCTAAATTGGCAGCAATAGTGGCGTCGTAAAAGATTCACACTTAATATTTCGGTTACTAATCTCAATTGACCTGTTCGCTTCTGGAGATTTTGCCAAAAAATGACTCTTGAAGCTACAATCGGCGACAAAATTATTGAGGCATTATGCTCACTAAAAAAGGGGTAACTTAGGAGAACAAAACTATCCAAATCCCTCCCTCCCTCTCCCCTCCATTCAAAGTTGGGGTGTTTTTTTTTTTGTTTTCTACAGGTAGCTTGATCCGCGGCAAAACATTGCATGGAGGGGGTGAGGGAGGGAAAGCTTTATTTTCCCCTGCATAAGTTGGCAAACGTCAGAGAGGTCCTTTAGGGCAAAGTTTGTCAACTAATTTTGTCGTCAATTGTACTTAAGCCATTTTCTTTCCAAAAAGAGTGTGAGGGGGAGTCGGGGGTACAGGGGGTACAGGGGGTACACGGGGCGGGATCCCGGGGAAATAGGGGCCAGAGAGATACAATAGGCCGGAGGGAAAAGAGCAGGAAGTGGCCTAGTTCTAAAAGTAGGGAAAGCGGGAGAAACTAGGGGAAAATTAAGCCAAACTATATACTGGTATTATTACTTTACGTACCAAAACCTAACAGAATTAACGTCTTCTATTGATTTTATTAGGGCCGCGGCGGTTATTCGGGGGCGAGGGTGGCGGGCGCTTAGTCGGGAGCGGTGCTTATTGGAGTAAATACAATATTTGGCCACATCATCATAATGAAGCAGACAGCCATGACACAGCCCCTTCAATGACGTGTTACTTACGTCATTAATGACGTTAAAACAATTAGGGCCTAATGTTATCACTTTTAAGAGTTAGGAAAAAAAGTTATTGCATTTAGGACTTTATTACATTTAGGGCAAAATGTTATTACATTTAGGACTTCAACAAATGTCAGGTCAGGTACCTGGGCCCGGTTGTGGATAGTGGAAGCACTATCCACTGTATAAATCTCTGTCCAATGGACAACGCAATTGATTTCCTTAATACTTATCCATTGGATAGTGATTTATCCTTCGGATAGCGCTAGCCAATGTTTGAACAAAGGGGGCCTGTACAACACAGTTTAAGGGGCTGTGTCATTGCAGTACAGCTCATTTTGTTTAATTTTGCCAATTACTCGTCCTCAATCTTTATTGAACTTAAAGTAAGCAAAGAAATTACATGTAAATGACAAAATCAGAGATCCGAGACAAACAAATACGTCTGCTGAGCCTTATTTTTGAAGTTGCAAGCAGCAGGGATCAACTTTGAAAGACTGTTAAGCTGAACAGTTTTTCAAAAACGCTAATTTCAATCCGCGTTTTGCCCATCCGTGGAATCTGTTGTTTTTGTTGTATTATTTTAACCTTCCTTTAATGTTTTAAGCAGTTATTTTTATGTTTCTCCTAGTTTAACGGCATTTTGTAATTTCCTGATTTGGTTGAATTTCGTGACACAGCTCCTTTGATAATATGCTCTAAACAAAAGAGTTTTATCCTGGACACTGACCGCCCAGGCAGTTTAATCTCTGCAGATCGAATCGTTAGTGTCAAATTTTATCATATCTTTAATCCCTGTTGAACGGATATTTGGAAAATTTCATAGCTCTTGTGAAGATAAATATTCTTAATCATCAGTACAATCAGTGTCCATGCATCTACTGAGACATGCCACAGAAAAAGGATGTGACCATTATTCTTACTGGAATCAGTAAACAGTCGATAATAGATAATAGAGGTGTCGGTACTATGAGGGAGTCCGGAGAGTTTTGACTGGACATTCTTATTAGTTATTTAGCATTCTGCTTGTACTAAGTTAACTGGTCTAAGCCTTAAGGTATTTTAAAGCCTTGAAGAGGCTTCATTAGCCATATAATTACCTTAAGGGATAATTTAAGAATAATTTCCCACAGTACAGTGAAGCAGCGCTTTTAACTGATTCCAAAGAAAGCCTAACGTAAAAATGAACTTGGAATGTAAATAAAAAGGGATGTTGTGTAAGTTTATTCAATTTCATTGCTCAAACTGGGACTGCCACATACGTGTAGTTTATATAGTAAGGTCCGAACAGGACAATCCCCATCTGACGTCATTGTTAAACCTCTCAACTATTAGGTGGTGTTTCACTGTAAAAATAATCAGTTATTAAACAAATAGAGATTTATAAGGTCGAGTGATTATAAGATAACTTACGCACAATTCATTCATTCTGAGTTTGGGAATAGAATCTACTTGAAAGCTTACTGGATTTTCAGTCCGTGCGGTTGCCTTCAGCTTATTTATCCCTTTTTATAAAATAAACTGACAAATTTTCCAAATATCTTAAAAATATTTGTGATATCCGCTAGATAAAAACCACTGAACTGCTTACTATAAATTAAGAAGAATAATCTTATTTACTCGAGGCAACAGTTCAAGAAATCTGATTTAAAGTAAAAAAAAAAGGGAGACTGAGTATTGTCAAGTGTTGGAAGAGCACTGTTATACTTCCCTCTCTCCCCGCCTATAAACTTTAGCAATAAAATAAAGTGAGAAAAAGTACAAGAGAAACGAAAAATTCAGCACAATGCTAGATTCAGACGTATATCAATCGGTTCCTCAAAGCCAAGGCCTACCAAAGAGTCAGAAAAGAGTATCAGAGAATCATACCATGGGACTCATTACAAAGCATGCTGCCATACATGACTGAGTGTAACTATTTAAGAGTCTTGAAAAAGGTATTTTCATCCTTTAAAGCCGTTGCTAGAGTAGGAATCTTTAGATTGGACTATGAGTACGAGATTTGATAACGAGTAGAAGTTTTTAAACCAGTTTCATGCCCCCGGCGGATAAACGTTTATCACTGATTTAGCTCCTTTTAAGGCTATATATACATTACTGTACCGGATGTCTTTTCAGGCATCGCCACGAACGTCATACCATGCAGATAGGGCTTCTATTCACACACAAGAACGGTGATTTCGGAGCGATTTCTGAGACGGAGGGAAGCTTCGCTGCGCCCATCCCTAAAGCCGAGCGTCACATACTGGATAGGTCTTGTGCCATTCTTTAATTGGTGCAGTGTGCACACCTGTTCGGACCGTCGCGGAAGTAAATAAGTAGGAGCGAGGACTGAAACTCACTGAGACAGACTGAGTAAATATTTGGGAGTAAGGATTGGAATTTAGTGCACCAAATTTTCTCCACCAACCGCCCAGGCACGATGTTTGATGTGTGTGAACGAATCATTTTTGTTCCGGTTCCGTGCCGTTGCTGTTGCCCTAGAAAGCACTTCGACAATAAAATTTAGAGAAAGGCGTTTGCAGCTTCCAGCCTGAACAGAGTCTATTTTGCTTTTATTATTATTATTATTATTATTATTATTATGATGTGCATGTCTCACACCTATACGTGGCCTTATTTATTCCCCAAAACATCAAGCTATCTCCTATAGCCTTAGTTGTCTAGGGTCCTTCTTAGGATCGTAGCTGTTATTATATCTACTTTAACTTTATGCCATAATACAAAGTAATAACCGAGCCAATTACTAGGGCCAAGGGTTAGAATGAGGGAGGAATCTATTTGATGGAGAGTTGTGACTTTCGACCCCACATTCGTTCAATCTCGATTTCAAGGTATTTTGACAGTTTTTCACTAATTATTATTATTATTATTATTGTTATTATTATTACTACACAGAATCACCAACCAATCGCATTTTTAATTCAGTCATATTGAAGAACACTACTTGATAACATCTTCGGCCTGGAGGAACGATGTCCAGGCGGCTGTCGGTGGCGTTGGTCTCCTACTCAGTCCTAAGACAAAGAAGACTCTGTGTAACGTGTTTTCGTACTCTGAGCGCGTTCTCCTAGCAGACTTTTCGGGCAGTCCAGCAACTATTGTGATCTTTGCATACTCACCAACAAATGTCTCCCCTGAAACTGAGGTGGAATCCTTCTATAACACCAACTAGCTGCAATCCAGGACACACCCAGACAAATTCCTAGCTATCCTCGGGGATTTTAATGCAACGCTTGGTCCCGACGATGTCTACTATCTCTTAGTACCATCATGATACCAACAGAAACGGAGCATATTTGCTGGACTTAATCGTAGATAACAATTTGCTCACGGTCAACACACAGTTCCAGAAATGAATGGGAAAGAGGTGGACGTTCTGCGACAGGGCCTCTCAGATGAGGTGACAACTCGATTGTTTATTTTTTATTGTTTATTGCTTTGTTTGCCATAAATTGTACAAATCAAATAAAATCTAATTATTTAAACTCTCATGGCGAGGAAGCCCAAAAGAAGCCAACGGGTTTATAAGGAATGGGCTCCCTCAGTTAGATAAATAGAACAAAATATTATCATAATTACACATGGGAAAATCAATGGCAGAGCTACAGTAAATCTTAAAATAAATATATTAGATAGTCGTACTAATCATAGTTCTAGGCTAAAAAAAGCGAAATGACAAAAAGATTACATCTTGGTAAGAAAGAAATGGCGCAATAGTGTTCTTGATACGGAGCCGTACAACACCTTTATTGGACTTGTCTATGAAAACACGTCTTAGTCTGAGAGTCATAAAGCAACATCCTACAACAGGCGGTCCAGACTCTTAATTAGTATCCAAGATAATGGAGAGTTTTTTGCTTGCAGTGAAAAAAAAAACATTCAAGGGCACGCGTGCGATGGGATGTACCGTTCAATTAGTTAGGACCATTCACTCTCCTTTACTTAGTTCTGGAATCAGAACAGCTCAGAGCCAATCAGATTTGAGTATTTTAATTAGTTTTGATAATTGTTCATTATTGTTGACAGAAAGAAGCAACTTTTTTTCACCAATAAATCACAGAAAATACTCGACGCAACTTCTATGATAATAATTGAATTTGCCCCTTTATTTGGAGGAGGGCAAACAACGCAGTGAAACCTTGAAAAGAAAGGATATTAGCTTTTCGAATGATGTCATCTCTTTGTTTTTTTTTCCCACCTAGTTCACTGGGTCATTGCCATCCAGCAATACAGCTAAGGGAATCCGGAATCCCCGACTAACGATTGGCATCCGGAATCCAGGTTACACTGACAATGAATCTTGAATCCAGTATCTGGAATATGCCACGATTACTTTAAGACGGACACCTCGCAAAAAAGGATACCCAGAGTTGGGCCCTACCTTTCTTTCACCTTCATATGTGGACTCGCTATAAGTTAGACATCTCTCTAAGACGGACGTAGCACTGGTTTTGTCAGCACACGATGAGGCAATACTAAACCAGAGATTCAATAATGTTCTTCAGGAGCCTTAAGACGTTCCCTAAACAATCAGAGATTAATAAATTATTATTATTATTCATTCAAAATATTTCCCCGATTCTGATTGGCTAACAACACACGTTTAATTCACGGTAACCAGTTACTGATGACCAAATGTGGAAGAATTTTGTGTTTAGCGAGGAAATGACGTCAAAAATGCAGCGTTCTTGCAGGTTAATGCACCATTAACCGAGAAGACCTGGGGACGAGGTTGAATTGTTTTGGTTGTGAACTTGAAAAATGGCGGACATTTCACTCGTTTCAAGAGTAAGAATTAGGCGAAAAAAATAACTAAAAACATGGCAAGAACAGCAAGAAAACAACTCGAAGGGCGACATCTGCTATTTGGAGGATATTTGCGGAGCTGAACAACCCTAAACATGCACTATTGAAAATGAACTTAACGTCGATGGATCGATGGAGATGCATGTTTTAGCCATGTTTTTAAACTAGGAATTATTTTGAACGAATAATAAAACAATTATTGAATTCGGCTTCCGCATCATATGAAGAATTATGGAGATCTCGGAGGGTGTTATCCCCCATACTCAGCCTCATTCATTAATTGTTAAATAATGGCTAGATCCCTGTTGCTAATGGACGAAGTGCGCCAACTGAGCAGGTGACCAACACTTTTAAGCACCTTGTGTATCTTATATTTTCCGTTCTTGTCCAAAATGCTTCGAATCTGTATACTGTGAACATTTTCTTATCAAATGTGCCATACGAATTTGAACCTTGTTTAAGCATGGATTTCCGATTTACAAAAAACTGTGTTACCTAAGTTATTTCTATCACAGGTTTTCAGCTGGCGTAGTTTTGTCAACAAACTGTTTGAATTCAGACTGGTTTGAATTTAAATTCAAACGGTTTGCTGACAATATTTAATTTTTTTAAATTAAAAAAAATACCCCATAGCCTGCAGTTAAGGAGACTTTTGACTTTCAAACAATACTATTTAAGCAATAGAAAACGTTTTCCGTGTTTGCATTTTAAACCTGATATAAACACGAGAGGGGTTGGGAGAATTCGAGACAGTTATAACTGTCGAGGATTCTCCCAACGCCTCGAGTGTTTATATCAGGCTATGCAAACACAGGAAAAAAAGTTTTCTATTGCTTTAATAAAATAAATTTCCCGAGAAAAAACGCAAAACTCTTTGTATGGCAATGATTAAAAGAGAAATTTTTACCAGTCGCAAAGTCTTGTCCACGAAGTCTTGCACGCGTAATCAGTTCTTGTTTTGCAAAAAGATGCTTTTCAAAATACGGACTTTTCTCGCTTAAAATGTCAGCTTAAGCGAAAAAAAATTGACACACTTTCCTTGTAACGATTTTCGAAGTTTCAGCCGACGCAGGAATGGGTAAATATAGTAAACTTGTCGAGTTTTAAACTTGAAAACTTTTTCAAATTCGTGCTTGCGTGTTAACGCGCGAAAAGCAAAACATCTTGACACCACAACCATGTTTACATACTCTCATGCAAACACTCCTCTCAGCCAATCAGACTGGCGTACTTTCTTAGTTATTTTATAAAAACGTTTACTAACTAATTGAAACTTCGCACGTCCTCCTTTGGTTCCATAATACTTCGTAATTATATAATAACGCATTTCACCGATTTTGCACGTAGTGCCTCGCAGATGTCCTCTAGAATTAGCGGGGGCTATTATTCGCTTCAATAATCAAATTTAATTTAGATTTCTCAAAAAAAACTGTTAGCTGAATGTGCTTTTATATTTTTTACAGTATTTCATTGTAAAGGCCCGATTCAGAGACGGTTTAAATTTCGGAAAGAAAGATTTACACGTTTTCTGACTTCTGTTTACTCAAGTTGATTCACAGCAAGACTGTGCTAGCGTGTCCTTAACTGCCTGTTTCATTTCTCTCATTTTCCAGCAATAAAGCAGTGGGTTAAGAGAAGAATTAAGGTATAACATTGTGACTGAAGCATTCCACGCAATTTCATTGTCCCTCGTAATACCCCTTAACACTGTAGCTACAATAAATGGAACATAGCAAGCTAACAATGTCACCTGAACCCATGCTATGCTGGAAACGGTTCTCTTGTATCGTTGCATCTTTAATGACGTTAATCCTTCGTTCTGTTGCTCTTGCACTCTACTTTGGTGTTGCCGAAGTCTGAGGAAAATTTTCACGTAAGAAAAGAGTGAGATCCCCAGAGCAAGTATTCCCAAGATCACAGCGCCATTTAAAGCGATTCGAAAGCTCACGAAAGATCCCATCATTCCGAACAAAATACCAATTAACCAGAAACAAATAACCGCTACAGTAACTCGTTTTAACGTTACAACGATTCTGTATCGCAGGCCCAATATGAGAGCGAGAAGTCTGTCCAAGCTTATAGCGGTCGATGTAGCGACTGATACTCCACACAAAATGAAACTTAAAGAAGAATTTGCCTCGATGAAGTAAAACATATTTTCAGGGGTAATGGTCTTTGTCACGATATTAAGTATTCGGATAGCAAGCAATGGTTGCAGGAAAAGGCCAACGCAAAGATCGGTGAGGGCAAGGCATCGATATAGCAATTTTGTCGGTGGATGAATAGCGGACACTTTACAAAGAGCAATCATGATGAGTATGTTTCCAACAAAGGCAGCGACGGAAAAAACAAAATTCATACTAGAAAGAAATATAGATAATCCCGGTGTTAACGTGCTTGTTTGGTTCACCATGGTGTGTTCGTCGTTACAACTCACTGTTCTCCAATTTTCTTACGCCAGGCCAGTGATTTGTGCGGTGAGAAAATCCTGGAAAATTCCTCTGGGTTAACACCTTTTCACTGGGCCTTATTGCATAAACTTTTACTTACACGCCTGTTAATCCTCAAAATTATGTTTATCATATGGACGCACCTGCTTCTATTTCTTCAGGATGTTTGGCCCTATTGTGGTAAGTTAGAGACAGTTGGCCAAGTTCTAAACGAGCGGAGAACTGGTACGACTTCAGTTATCACAGTAAAGGCTCTAGGGATTGTTTGGCGGGAAAGCAAAAATATGGCAGACGGCGCCAAACCAACTGCTTAAGACGCACCTTGGGTTATTCTGACAGAAGAAGACATACCTAGTGCATAAATTCATATTCAAAACAAAGTGCATTTAAAACAGCTGCAAAGGGTAGGGTACCTTTTGTTAATAGAAGTTATACAAAGGAGGTGTACCTTTTTTTTGCCAAAGGTGGAATATAAGAGGGTAAGGGGTTCGACCTCGGGCGGAGCCTCTTCGTTGAAAACTTCAGTGTTGACTATTCCCCCGGGAATAGCTTTTGGTAGAACAATGCTAGCAGGCAGTCCCTTTCCGACTTAGCCTGAGAAAACAGCCGACATTTCACGACGCTACCACTGGTTTTCCCGCCAAATGACGTCTGAGAAACAAGCGCAGAAATTCCATACTGATGACGCGTCACTACCCAGATCTGGGTAGTGCTTCTGATTGGTTGAAGCGAATTTCCCACTCGGCAAGACCAATCAGAAGCACTGCCCGTTCTTGGTTTTGAAGTTATTTAACTTTTTCGTGAGGGGGGCTACAACAACTGTTGTAAGAGGCTGAGTATGATATGACGAAGGTTATGCAGATCGAGGTCTTATTCACTGTGGCCTCGGTGGATAAAATCTTGTTTCAATCCCTTTTTTTTCATCTACATTTGAAAAATTTTAAGAATAATGTGAGAAGCATTTTTTTTTAAACACGACTTGCATGGGTTATGGGCAATTATTAGGATAGTAACATTTTTCTAATAATGTATGCGTCATTATTTCTTTAATTCGTGCAAGCTTACATTCATGGAAGGGACCGCTGGGATACGTTTAAGTTCAGCATCACTCTCTTAAGTTGACTTTCACAGTCCCCTTATTTTTTTTCTCGTAAGATCGTCGGGATCGAAAATTACCCTTACGGGCGGCAATATTGGTTTCAAATGTAACAAGTCTAGCATAGGGGATCTTGACACAGCGATCTTAAGTAAAATAGGGGACTGTTAACAGAGCTGAGTTGAAGCAAATTTCCCACGCGGCAAAACCAATCAGAAGCACTACCCAGTTCTGGGTAGTGACACGTCATCAGTATGGTTTGGGACACCAATATGGCCGCCGTGACGTCATGTGAAAACACTCTATATGTAACTGTCTACATAGCTACTCCATTACGAAACATGAGCTCAACAGCAAGTACAAAGCAGTGGACTGCCCTAGAACTAACAAAAACGGTGTCGCACGCTAGGACCCGGGGTTCATTATTGTACCCTACTGCAAAGTCTCGACCTTGTACTCGGGTACCGGCACTGTGCTCGAAGCTCGGGCACCAAGTATGAACGCTGCCATAAATTTATGTTTATTACCTGTTTCCTACTTGCAGTGCAGAAAGTATTTTATCATTTCATATAAACAACGAGAAGATAGGAAATCGAATTGCCACTTAACCAATGAGAAGCCTTTCCTTTAGTGAAATCAAAAACGACATTGGTGGTCTCAGGTGATTGTTGCCTAATCTTTTATTGTATTTTATTTTTTTCGGACCTATTAAAATTTGAAATAATCTAATTCTGAATAAGTGTTTGTCAAACAATTTGCCTGGAACCGCTTGTCGTACTAATTCTTTTAGGGACATTTTAATCGGCTGTAGACATGAGCTGAGTAAACCAACAGAAAACTGCAATACCTCCGTATGAAAAAAGATGACTTATTTTCATTCCATCTAAAAGTAGTCAATAAGTAAGGAAGCAATTTCATATTTTAAAAATTAAATTCACGGTGGGGGGGTTGGGCACTTTCTTTTAACCAATTACCATGAAGCGGTAATTTTTAACTCCAAGAGTGGTGTTAAATCTCTGGGTACTGGATAAAAGCCCAGGTTTCTTTTACTCTATGATTAGTATTTTTACCCTAAAACTAGAGTTAAAATTTTACTTAGGGACTGGTCAAAAAGTATAGGGGGGGGGGGGGGGGGGGGGGGGGGGGTTTGGAAAAATGGGGTGAAAAAAAAAAAAAACCCCCCCCCCCCCCCCCCCCAAAAAAAAAAAAACACCCCCCCCAAAAAACAGGTGGGAATTTCAAACCCCCCCCCCCCAGTAAAAAAGATGGTTTTGTTTCTTCTTTAAAATCCAAAAAAAACTCATTTTTTT